TAAGTCACGTATAAATCTGTACAGCCCTGAGCTTAGGAAAGATTATGCTTTCCCATCACAGAGCTGCGATCAATTGTTGCAGAATCTCCTGAGGTGCCTCCTGAAAATACAGATCCCTAAGCCCCCTTTCCCCACTACTGAAACAGACTTTTCAAGATAAGGACTAGGGAGTCTAGATTTGTTTTGTTTTTTTTTTTAATTTTTTTTTAGGGTAGTTGACACTAAGGGTCTAGATTTTTTTTTTTTTTAAAGATTTTATTTATTTATTTGAGACAGAATGAGAGAGACAGAGAGCACATGAGAGGGGGGAGGGTCAGAGGGAGAAGCAGGCTCCCTGCCGAGCAGGGAGCCCGATGCGGGACTCGATCCAGGGACTCCAGGATCATGACCTGAGCCGAAGGCAGTCGCTTAACCAACTGAGCCACCCAGGCGCCCAAGGGTCTAGATTTTTAATGAGCACCCCAGGTCAGTGGTTCTCAACTGTGGTAATTTTGCCATCCAGGGAACATCAATGAACAGAGACATTTTTGGCTGTCACAACTGGGAAAGGAGAATCTACGGCATCTACTAGGTAGAGGCCAGGGATGCTGCTAAACATCCTACAATGCACTGGGCAGTTCCCACAACAAAGAATTATCTGGCCCAGTATGTCAATAGCACTGAGATTGCAAAACCCTGCCCCACGTCATTCTGATGCTCACTAAAGTTTGAGAAGTACTGATTAAAGCCTCAAACTCATCAAATGCTTTGAAAGGAGCATCTGGACATAAGACAATTTTGAGAGGATGAATAAAACTTGTCACCTCTAGAAAAGACACTGAACAACCCTCATCTACTCCCAGCTCATTCTCCCCATATTAACTCACCAATGGCATCCCTTCCCTTAGGATCTTAGCCCCAGTTTGCCCATCTGTGAAAGATCACTCCAAGACACACTGACTATAGTATTCCCCAATGCTAGGTAAGGACGATGAAAATCCTATCTGCCCAGAAGTTGTGGGTGAGTCACTGGCCATTCACCCAATACAAAGGAGGAAGCAGTATGTTTCTAAAGCCAGAAATATAGTCTCCTGCCTTGGCTCCTCTAGACGCAAGGGGGGGGGGGGGTGTGTGTGTGTGTGTGTGTGTGTGTGTGTGTGTGTGTGTGTCTCCTCTAGACGCAAGGGTGTGTGTGTGTTCTCCTCTAGACACAAGGGTGTGTGTGTGTCTGTCTGTCTGTCTAATCCTTAGGCAGAAGTTACCTGCTCCCTTCTGCAAGGCATATACACTCCCTGGAGGTAAATACTAGCACTATAAGCATTTAAGAGAAGGCAGGGTATTTCTACTTCCAAACCCTAACCCTTAACTTCTCAAACTAGTTCCTAACATGGCTCTTCCTTTCTGAAGGCCCAAGGATTTAGTTTACTCGCTGGATTCACATCCTACTGTTTGACATGATTCCTTGACACAGCCTCTCGCATAGCATGGGACACAGGTTCCCCCAATTCCACCCCACACACTGGCTCTAAAACAAGCATATAACGTCTTTCCATTTTCATGGATTTTTAGAGCTAGGTACTCCCCGTCTCTCATATCTCTGAAATGAGAACAGAATGAGGCCTGCACTCATGAAGCCACCTCTTTGAATTCCTTTTATGGATAGGCCACCATCCCCTTATGCTATCTCTTTTCTTTTCTTAAGTTCTGGAGATGGAATTCATCACTCATTCCTCCAAGCACAGACTCCCAATCGAAGTGATATATAATAAATAACACTACTGAATACTCACTATATACTTGGCACTGTTCTTTTTTTTTAAGATTTATTTGAGAGAGAGAGAATGAGAGAGAGAGCATGAGAGGGGGGAGGGTCAGAGGGAGAAGCAGACTCCCCGCCAAGCAGGGAGCCCGATGCGGGACTCGATCCCGGGACTCCAGGATCATGACCTGAGCCGAAGGCAGTCGCCCAACTAATTGAGCCACCCAGGCAACCCCCTACTTGGCACTGTTCCAGTGCTTTAAATATACTGTATTTAATCCTTACAACAGTCAGACAAAGTAGGTACTATTACCATAATTTTACAATGAGGATTTCACTTTGCCCAAAGTAAAAGAGCCACTAAATCTTTCTCTCTGGTAGCCCCTCTCCCTATCAGAATATCCCATTAGTGCAAAAAATCAGGTGTTGACTAACAGAATACTCAAAATCCAGATTCAGTTAAAGTTCTGTGGAAACTCCAAACTAATATCCATAATATCAACATTCCCACTTTATCCAAGAAAGTCAGTCAACTCAGGACACTGTCTGACAAGCACCATCCCTATTTTCTAACTACTAGGACAGAACCAGTATGATTTAGTAGGTACATGAGCCACTATGGGGCAGCATCCTCATCTTGCATGTCCTCGGACAGGGCTCATCTCAGAGTGGGTGTTTAGCCTATACTTGAAAGTGGAAATAATTCAGGGACTTTCCCAAGACTAAGCAGTAAGTGGCAAAACCAGAAATTTCCCAATCCTTACTCTAGGTATCAGCCATTGTCTGCATCTACTAGAGATGAAGTAGCTTCACAGAAGAGAACTCAAGCCAGTCCCAAGAGACTCTACAGAGTCTGCCTACTTGCACTAATAATACAGCTGAAGAGGCTTAAATAAACATGACTACCTCAGCTTCCCTTTCAAATTATTTTATACAAGACGGAATGCACTTGAAGGAGGAACCAACTCCAAATTGACAGGATTTCAGGCAACTGTAATTGAAAATCACATTTTTCTGACATCTCCCAAAATGAGAACTCATTTTAAGATCCTCTTCTCAATGAGCAGGAGCCTCCTGTAAATTAATACTGTCTATCTCCTGTTCAAGCCCTGAACTTCCTCAAGCAGCACGTCACTCATAGCTTCTTCATTTCCTTTCCTGTTGAACCATACAAGCCTCATGAATACCACCTAAGTATAAAATGAAAACTCTAAGACAGACTCCCATAATCTTCTTAAAGAAAGCCCAAAAGGTAACTGCAACCTTACAAAGTAAATGGATTTCCTACTGGCTTAATAACTAACATTTATCATACTTTATAATAGCACAGCCATAGTGTAAGACAAAAAGGGGTTCCAAAATTACAAAGTTATGGTCCCTGCCTTGAGAAGCTCATTGTTAAATGGAAGAAGTACATATTCTGATTCTTCCTTATAAACAAACAAAATAAACATTTTTCCCAGGATTTTTTTCATATTTGCCCTCACTTACTCAGAGCTATTGCCAAGATATTAAGCTCACCAGGCCTCCTTACTTCCAGCTGCCTACTAACATCTCCATGTGCACACCTCACAAGCAACTGGATCTCAGCATACCAGACTATCTCCCTTATACTCTTTCCATAGTCACCCCAGCCCTTAAAAAAATCTGCTCTTTTTCTAATCCATATCCTGGTCAATGAAATTCCCATTCACCCAATCTCTCAAATTAGAAACCTTAGCCTACTCTCTCTCTTCCTAGTCACTAAGTCATGTTGCATCTATCTCAGAAATACCTCTAAAATTCATTCCCCTCTTCATTCCCACTGCCACACTTCATTCAGTCTCTCGGTCAATTGCAACAACTCTAATTAGTCTCACTACTTCATTTCTCATTACTTTAATCCACACTTCTGTCACTCCCTAACATAAAAAACTCCAATGGCTCCCTACTCTCTTTTCAGTCTTATCTCCTGGCAACTTCCCCACCACACATCCTGTTTGGGACAAATTTTTGACACTTAAACATCATGTTATTTTTTCTCTTCACACTTTCACCATCCCTTTGTGCATGCTTTGCTCAACTGGAATGCCTTGCCTTATTTGTACAAGCTCCTACTCATCCTTCAAAACCCAACTCAACCTCTCTTCCCTGCAAAAATATCCGAGTCTTCCACACATGGCAGTATTCCCTTCACACTGTATAAATTCCTTTATATGGATATGTAACACACAGCACTACAATTTTCTTTCCTTTTTTTTTTTTTAAAGATTTTATTTATTTATTTGACAGAGAGACAGCGAGAGAGGGAACACAAGCAGGGGGAGTGGGAGAGGGAGAAGCGGGCTTCCCCGCTGAGCAGGGAGCCCGATGCGGGGCTCGATCCCAGGACCCAGAGATCATGACCTGAGCCGAAGGCAGACACTTAACCTACTGAACCACCCAGGCGCCCCTACAATTTTCATATGAATACATTTCTCTGATGTCCCTGAGGAAAGATACTATTTCTAACCCCAGTGCCAGTTACATAGTACATACTCAATAAATGTGTTAAGTAAACAGTTAACCCTCATATATCCTGGACCAGTTTGTGATTTGGCTGTTTTTCCCCAAATTTTGTGGATTTTTGAACTTAACTCTATGTGAGATTCCAACTTTCATAAATGTTTTTTCAAGGTTTTTTTTAAATTATATTATACAAATGTTGGAAAGAATGGAAATTCCCCCTTTACAATCCTAACAAGAAGGATCCACCTTTCTCTAGACTGATTTCCTATCCCAAAAGCTTTCACATAGGAAGTACTCTGCACACAGACCCAGCCAAAGAAACACCCAAAATAATTTCAATTAACTTGTGCTAAGGACAGGGGCACAAACCATAGCTGCCCTGGTTTACAAAGTCACTGAGAGCTGACAACAGCAAAGAAACCGTTCTCACTAACTCAAAACTTCTGGAGAGAAAGAACTGGGGAGGGTCCGATGATCCAGAAACATTTTTCGAGTCTGGCCCAAGTTCCTACTTCCCCAGTCTCCAGAGGCAGCACTCCTCGGCCTCTGCTAGCTCTCCTTCCCCAGGGAACCAGCTTTTTCTCCTATTTCTTCCCCACACCTGTCTGGGAACAGGTTCGTTTCCCAGGCTCGCTCCAAGTAACCCCAAGAAAACACGGCAGCTTCACTCATTCTGTGTATAGGGTGGGCTGAAGCCCATCGGTCAGAGACTGAAAAGAGGGGTAGGTTGAGGGCCCTTCCAAGGACAAATGAAGACTTCAAGAGACGGGCCTACCTCTAACCCTTCTCAGAGGTCCTGCCCAAAGCCCTCATCCCAGGGCCAGGCTGGACTGGGCGGAAGGCCTCCCGGGGGCGGCGACAACCTGAGGGGGAGAGGTTCTGGAGGCTGCTTGAGGCGTCGGGATCAGCCCCATGCTGGGGTCAAAGGTCAGCATCTCGGCCGCCCAGAGGGCCCAGCGGGGAGTGGGAAGGCCGCGAAAGGCACCGGAAGGTCGGACGGACCAGCCTCTGCAAAAGCAAAACGCTTCTCGCTCCGCTCCACCGCCCGGGCCCTGCCTCCCAGCCGCACGCAGACTCAGCCCGCCTCAGCAGCTGTCCTCCCTCCCTCTCCCCCCGTCACCACCATCGTCCCCCAGGCGAGCGTAGGCCCCGCCCCTAGAGCCGCCTCGGGGCCAAGGCCTAGTCCGGCTGGAGCTGCAGGGGTTGGCCAGGTTCGGGGACCGGCCCGCGCGGGTGCCGCTTACCGAGCCCCGGGCTCCTCCTCCACCACTCGCGCCGCTTCCGGGCCCGCTCGCTCCCGATGCCACCGACGCCGCCGCTCCTCCGAGCTCACGGACGCGCTCCCGACCTCCCCCGACCCTTCCCCCGTCCCACGGTGCCCCGCCGGGTCCTAAAGCCCGCTGCGTGATAGATACGTTCACGCCCGTTTCCTGAAGCCGGCTCAGACCACGGTTCCCAGCAAGCATCACAGGGACTACAACTCCCGAAATGCACCGCGAGAAAGACTTTAGCAAAAGAACTCTCTATTGAGGGTCGGCTAGAGGCAAGTTGCAATTGTTTTTTAAAATACAGGCGAATTATACATATACACTTTTTAAATACAGCAGACTCTGAACTTGGCAATTCCAGTAATAGGAATAAAAATGTATATGTTCCATGGGGCACCTGGGTGGCTCCGTGAGTTAAGCTGGGACTCTTGGCCTCAGCTCAGGTCTGGATCTCAGTGTCCTGAGTTCAGGCCCCGCTTTGGGCTCCACGCTGGGTGGTGAGCCTACTTAAAAAAGAAAAAAAGATGGGGCGCCTGGGTGGCTCAGGTGGTTGGGCGTCTGCCTTCGGCTCAGGTCATGATCCCAGGGTCCTGGGATCGAGTCCCGCATCGGGCTCTCTGCTCCTTGGGAGCCTGCTTCTCCCTCTGCCTCTCTCTCTCTGTCTCTCATGAATAAATAAATAAAATCTTTAAAAAAAGAAAGAAAGAAAGTGTATGTTCCCGGATGTTTATTGCAACTTTGTAAATGAAAAATAGGAAACAGATCCATTCAACAAATATGTACTGTGTGCCTACTATGTGTAAAGCCCCATGTGTTAACGGGGCAGGTAACTTCCCTGAGTTTGTTTTCTCTGTGCGAAATGGAAGATTAAAAAAGATAGGCTGGGCATATGTGTGTGTGTGTGTGAGGGCGCAGGGTCCACACACCCGCATGTGTATATGAATGAATAAAGTCATTCAGCCCTTTTTAAAAATTTTATTTTTAAGTAATCTCTACACCCAGGGTGCCAGGGTGGCTCAGTCGGTTAGGTGTCTGCCTTTGGCTCGGGTCATGATCCCAGGGTCCTGGGATCGAGTCCCACACCGAGGTCCTTGCTCAGCTGGGAGCCGGCTTCTCCCTCTGCCTGTCGCTCCCCCCTGCTCGTGCTCTTGCGCGCTCTCTGACAAATAAAATCTTTAAAAAAAAAAAAAAAAAAGGTAATCTCTACACCCAATGTGAGACTTGAACCTACAACCCAGAGATCAAGAGTCACATGCTCCACCAACTGAGCCAGCCAGGAACCCCAAGTCATTCAATCCTTATAATGACTTTATGAAATGAATACTTCACAGGTGAGAAAAAGGTGTGATTAGATAGCTTGCCTAATACTCCAGAGTTAGTAAGAGGTGAAGAATTTGAACACAAATCTTTCAGGAAAGTGATCTTAAAGACCTAGAAGCTCAGGTTCTTTTTTTGAAGATTTTTACTTTTTTCTTGTCTATTTACACAGTAATGTAAGATGAGATTAGTGGTAAAAAAAAAAAAAAAAAGGTGTATCTTAATAGAATATTAGAAAGGGTGAGAAGGGGAAAAAGGACAGTATCTTGAGGTAAACCTCAATAGTTCCTGAACACCAGTTAGAAATCTCCTGTCCAGGGGCGCCTGGGTGGCTCAGTTGGTTAAACGACTGCCTTCAGCTCAGGTCATGATCCTGGAGTCCCAGGATCGAGTCCTGCATCAGGCTCCCTGCTCAGCAGGGAGTCTGCTTCTCCCTCTGACCCTCCCCCTGCTCATGCTCTCTCTCTCTATCTCATTCTCTCTCTCAAATAAATAAATAATCTTAAAAAAAAAAAAGAAAGAAATCTCCTGTCCAGCTGAACAAACCCCTTTCCATACCTGATTTCCTTTTTTTTTTAAGATTCTTTTTATTTATTTATTTATTTGAGAGAGAGAGAGAGTACAAGCGGGGAGGAGGGGCAGAGGGAGAGGGAGAAGCAGACTCCCCACTGAACAGGGAGCCTGACCTGGGGCTCCATCCCAGGACCCTGAGATCATGACCTGAGCCAAAGGCAGATGCTTAACCAAATGAGCCACACAGGCACCCCTCATACCTGATTTCCTTTTAACAAATGTTTGTTGAGCACCTACTGAATACCCAATTCTGGGAGTAGTAAAAATAATAATTATTAATACAATGCTGAGATTATGTTATAACAAAGTGGTAGGTAGATAAATAGGTAGATATACAATTAACTGTTTTAAATATCAGACAGTGAGTTATCAAGGTCAGGCTTAGGAAGGCTCAAGTTGTAAATACTCTGAAAATTCAGAGAAAGGAAAATACCATGTCAGTCTCTGGAGGCTTCCTGGGGGAAGGTGAAGATGGAGTCAAGTCTTAGAGGAGAGGGTATAAGGGTGAAGCAACATAATACACTGTCCATGATTATGTCCAGGAAGTTAATTAAATACAGATTCAGACAGGAGTCAAGTTTAGAAGACCATACACTGAATAGGTAAAAGCACGACCTCTGGAACACCGTGGGAATAAATCCTGACTGCCACCTACTTGCTGTATGACTTTGGACAATTACTTGAGCTCTTTAAACCTTAATTTCAGGGTACCTGGGTGGCTCAGCCGGAAGAACATGTGACTCTTAATCTTGGGTCATGAGTTCAAGCCCCACATTGGGTGTAAAGATTACTAAAAATAAATAAACTTAAATAAATAAATAAACCTTAGTTTCCTACCTGAAAAATTAGGATAATAAAAGGCCTATGTCATATTGGTTTGGTTAGCCAGCCCTGAACCCTTCCTCTCCTATTCTGGGGACCTCTTCCTTTGGGTAGTCTTGGTGGAAAACTAGGCCCTGAGCAACCAAGGTAAATGAGTTCATGTGACCTGGGCTTGGCCACTAGGAGCAGCCTCCAAGGGCTTTGACTCTTGGTCAAAAGATGCAAAGATGGCGTAGTCAGTTGAGCATCCAACTCTTGATTTTGGCTCAGATCATGATCTCATGGTCGTGATCTCACAGTCATGGGATAGAGCCCCGCATCAAGCCCCACATCAGCCTCCGAGATCATCATGGAGTGTGCTTGGGATTCTCTCTCCTTCTCCCTCTGCCCCTCCCGCTCCTACTCTCTCTCTCTAAAATAAATAAATAAATCTTTTTTTAAAAAGGAAGAAAGAAAGAGAAAAGGGCCCATAATAGAATTTAAAAACCAACATTTGGGGCGCCTGGGTGGCTCAGTCGTTGGGCATCTGCCTTTGGCTCAGGTCATGATCCCAGGGTCCTGGGATCGAGCCCCGAATCAGGCTCCCTGCTCGGCGGGAGGCCTGCTTCTTCTCCCTCTCCCACCTGCCCTGCTTGTGTTCCTGCTCTCGCTATATCTCTCTGTCGAATAAATAAATAAAATCTTTAAATAATAAATAAATAAAAACCAACATTTATTGATGAACCAAATACTATCTAAAAAAAGAGGAAAACGACAGGAGAAAGATGCCATGGAAATCACAGAAAGGACTTTCAAAAAGGAGGTTGTCAAACTTCTCAGAGAGAAAAGGAAATAAAAATATCCTTGAAGATCTCAGGAAGATCTATCTCAGGTAAGTAGTGGTTTGAGGAATAAACAGAAGGAGAGAAAGTGGAGGTAGCAAATGCTAGAGGATCTTTGCAAGAAACTTGATTAAAGGGAAGAGGAGACGAAGCCAGAGTGGTAGAGGTGGAGGAGAGATAAGGATGAAAGAGTGACTTCTAAGACTGGACAGACTGGAAAGTGTTTCTTTCTTTCTTTTTTTTTTTTTTAAGATTTTATTTATTTATTTGACAGAGAGAGACACAGTGAGAGAGGGAACACAAGCAGGGGGAGTGGGAGAGGGAGAAGCAGGCCTCCCACCAAGCAGGGAGCCTGATTCGGGGCTCGGTGGGGGGCTCTATGGGGGGCTCGATCCCAGGACCCCGGGATCACGACCCCAGCCGAAGGCAGGCGCCCAACGACTGAGCCACCCAGGTGCCCCTGGAGAGTGTTTCTATGCTGAGAGCAAGAGAACAGAATGAGGCTGATGAAACAGAAATGGATGCAAATTCTCACTGAAGTTTTTGAGGGAAGGAGGGAGAAGCAGGGTTCATGAAGAGGAATTTGATTTGGAGGGAGAAAGAATACCCTTGAGAAGGCAGTCCGGTAGGAAGGACTTCTGCATATCAATTTGCAGGTATTGCTAGAGAAATTACACACACTCAGTGCCTCTAAACTATGTTTTAATTTTGTTTCCTAGCAAATTCTTAGTTTTGGTGATGAATTGTTGATATAGTAAAGTGGTATGGTGCAAGGAATCTGGACTCAGATTACTTGTGATTGAAATCTCCCCTCTACCTCTACTCACTGAATAGCTGTATGATCTTGGTCAATTCACTTAATCTCTCTGTGCTTCATTTTCCATATCTGTGTGAGGGGCTTGTTGGGGGGGAGGGGGTTAGGAGGGTTTACACAGTAAATGCCACAGAGGTATTAACTGTTATTTTTTCCACTAGATAGTCAATTTCATAAGGTTGAAGTTTTCTGTTTTGTTTAGGCCTCTCTACTCAGCCGGGCACTTAGTAGGTGCTCAATAAAAATTTCATGACTAACTGAATTGAAGGAGTTGGGGTGAAAGAGAGAGGCTTGGAGGGAAGGAAAGCCTGGGGAGTGTGACACTTTCAGTTCACGGCTCAGCCTGAGAGATTCCTGAGTAAGGCTCTGCGCTTCCTGGGACTTGGGGCGTTGGGCCTACAACCCGACTCAAGGAGCGTGGGTGGTCCTAGCAAGGAAGGAGGCGCTGAGACCCTTCGGTGCTCGGGAGGCTCCTCCCGGGCCAGGCTCCCGTGGCTCCTCCCCTGGCGGGCGGGGTCGCGCCGGCGGGGCGTGAACGGGGCGGAGCCCTGAGCTCGCCTGGCGGGCGGGGCGGAGCCGACTCTCGGGCCTGGCTTCGGCTCACCTCACCGACGGGGGCCGGAAGTCTTGGCCCGGCTCCGTCTGCCCCTCGGGAACCCGGACCAAGCGCCGAGCCTCGCCCCACGGGGCGGCCAGGCCCGGGCTTGCTCCTGCGCGGGCGAACTATGAAGCGTATGGGGACTCTGCGCCTGCTTTCGGACCTCAGCCACTTTAGCGGCGTGGCCCGGCTCCGGGAGTTGCTGGCCGGGGACCCAGCCGTAAGAGTCCGCTGCAGCCCAGACGGCCGCCACCTGCTGCTCCTGCGACCCCCGGGGGCGCCGAGCCCGCAGCTGCTGGTCGCGGTGCGGGGCCCCGGCGCGGAGCTGGAGCGTGCCTGGCCGGCTGGCCACCCCCCACCGCTAGATGCCTTCTTCCTGCCGTGGCCGGCGCGACCGGCGCTGCTCCTGGTCTGGGAGAGTGGCCTAACCGAGGTGTGGGGCGCGGGAGTGGGGCCTGGCTGGCAGCTGCTGCGGAGCACCGAGCTGTGTCCGGGCGGTGGAGCCCGCGTGGTGGCCGTGGCGGCGCACCGAGGCCGGCTTGTGTGGTGCGAGGAGCGTCAGGATGGTGCTGAGGGCTGGCTGGGGCCGCCTGCTGCTTTCAGCCACTACGTGTGCGTCCGAACCCTGGAGCCCAGCGGGGAGGCCGGCACCAACCTGGGCCCCACACACATCCTGCTGCGCCACTGCCCCCCTTTCGGGCTGTTGGCCTCTCGCAAGGACCTCTTCCTGGTGCCCACTGCCACTACCTGGCCTGGCGTGAGTCACATTCTGCTAATCTGGAGCCCAAGCAAGGGCAAGGTGATGGTGGCTGCCCCATGTCTTGGCCTCTCCCACAGTAAGAGCCTGAATCCCGGACGAGGGGACACATGGGACTTCCGGACACTGCTCCGAGGCCTTCCTGGGCTGCTGTGCCCCATGAAACCCTTGACTGTACATACCTGGGCCCCAACTGCCCAGGGCCTGTTATTGCTTGACTTCAGGGGCGCTGTGAGCCTGGTGCAGTCCCATGGTGGTATGCGGGCCGTGGGCACACTGCAGGAGGCACCTGTAGGCCTGGCAGGCTCTGCTGCGCTGGGAACATTTCATGGGACTCTGGCTTGTGTGCTGGGCTCCACGTTGGAACTGCTGGATATGGGCAGCGGGCAGCTGCTGGAGAGAAAGGTCCTAAGTACAGACCGAGTACATTTACTGGCACCCCCAGCCCCTGGCATGGAGGATGAGGAAGGGCTGGAGACCCGAGGGGGTCTTCGTTTGCTTTCAGCCTTGGGTCTGTTTCGAGTAGGCTGGGAAGCCCCACCACAGGGTCTTGAGGTGCCTTCAGCCGAAGACCTGGTGTTTGAGGAGGCCTGCGAGTACTACCAGCGACGGAGTCTGCGGGGTGCCCAGCTCACCCCAGAGGAACTGAGACACAACAGCACATTCCGGGCACCTCAGGCCCTGGCCTCCATTCTCCAGGGACATGTGTCCCCGTCTGCACTGTTGACCACACTGAGGGCTGAGCTTCGAGATTACCGGGCCTTAGATCAGCTCAAAGCCCACGTGGTGGCTGGGGATGAGGAGGAGGCTGGCTGGACTGAGCTGGCAGAGCACGAAGTGGCACGCCTGCTGAGGACCGAATTGGTGGGAGACCAGCTGGCCCAGCTCAACACCGTTTTCCAGGCCCTTCCTACAGCAGCCTGGGGTGCCGTCCTCAGGGCCCTGCAGCTCCAGCCAGACGGGAATGGCCGGCTGAGGTCCCATGCTCCCCCTGATGTGTGGAAGAAGGTACTAGGAGGCAGTTCAGCTGGAAAGGAACCCCCCAATGGGATACTGCCCCCCTTTGAACTTCTGTGCCAGTGCCTCTGCCGGCTGGAGCCGCGATGGCTGCCGCCCTTTGTGGAGCTGGCGCAGCAGCAGGGTGGGCCTGGCTGGGGTGCAGGGGGCCCGGGGTTGCCCCTGTACCGTCGAGCCCTGGCAGTCCTAGGGGACGAGGGGACCAGGTCCGAGGCACTGGAGCTGGAGCTGCTCTTGGGCAGTGGGCGGCCCAAAGCTGTGCTCCAAGCTGTGGGGCAGCTGGTCCAGAAGGAGCAGTGGGAGCGGGCTCTAGAGGCAGGCCTGGGCCTCGGCCCTTCCAGCCGCCTGCTTCGAAGTGAGATCTTCAAGCTGCTGTTGGCCGAATTTGCCCGGCATCGTCGGCTTGATGCTTACCTCCCTCTCCTTTGCCGCCTGTGCCCACCAGACCTAGCTCCAGCTGAGCTCCTGCTTCTGCTAAGGACACACCTCCCAGATGAGTTGGCGCCCCCCACCCCATTCCCTGAGCCTGGAACAGAGCCCCCTCTCACTGTGGGCTTGCTCCGAGCCCTGCTGGAGCAGACTGGGGCTCAAGGACGGCCCTCGGGCCCAGTTCTAAGCCTGTATGAGGACATCCTATGGGACCCAGGCACTCCACCCCCCACCCCACCTCGGGGACCTGTGACTACCCTCCAGGCATCAGACCACCCAGGCTTGGAGGCCTGGGCGCCATCTGGACAGGGCCTCTGTGTGACTGACACAGGCTGAAAATCATTTCTAGGACACAGCCATCAGGGAAGGTGCCTAGGAGTTGGCGGAGAACCAGGGTGGGACCTATACGTGCAATGCTTTTCTCTCTTCTGAAGCAATTTGAAATATATATATATATATATATATATATATGGTAAATATTGTGATACAATAAATATATTTGGTCTTTGTCCTCAGGTTATTGTGCTGGCACAGAGCTCCTAAAACCCTTGGAATTTCCTGAGTGATAGGAGTGTCTTTTGTTATTCATAAGGAGCCTCTTTAGATCACATCTGCATTTATGGTAATAAGGTAACTTAAGGTGGGGACCCCCACCCTAAGGATGGGACTGGTCACCTGAAAAACCAAATGAGAGTATTGGAACTTTCAGCCCCATCCCCAACATCCTGGGAGGGGAGTGGGGCTAGAGAGTGAACTCTATAGAAACTCCTGAATGAGGAAATTTGGTAAGCACATTAAGGTTCTGGGAGGGTCCTGCCCAGAGAGGGCATGGGAGCTGCCCACACAGCGCCCGCCTGCCCCCCCGCCCCTCAACCGCCCCTCAACCTATGCCTTGCCCTATGTATCTCCTCCATCTGGCTATTCCTGAGTTGTATCCTTTGTAATAAACTCGTAAATGCAATTAAAGTGTTTCCCCAAATTCTGTGAGCCATTCTAGCAAATTGTCAGACCAATTTATAGCATGGGAATTCCCAATTGATAGCCAGTTGGTCAGAAGTACAGTGACTTGCAACCGGCATTTGAAGTGGGGTCAGTTTTGTGGGACTGAGCCCTTAAGCTGTGAGTTCTGTGCTAACTACTGTGAGTTCTGTCAGAATTGAATTGACATGTAAGACACCCAATTGGTGTCCATAGAGAATTAGTTGTTGGTGTTGGGAAACATTTCAGAAATACACAGGTTGTGTGTTTTTGAACAACTGAGGGTCCCAGAGGGTCGTGGGTAATGGAGGGAGCAGTTGAATCCAGTAGCTGCTCCCTGATGGGGCTGGAATGCACCCCTCACGCCCGGTTTAACGCTAGCTCTGCTGCCTGTTGTGAGGAGAGGGGTCTGCAGAGCTGCACGCTTTCTTCCCCCAAGACTTCTGAAACCAAGGCAGAATTGTGATGGGCTCTGGGCCTGTGCCTGTCTCCCCGGGATTCCTGGAGCAGCCCCTGGTGGGGGGAAGATCTGCCACAGACAGGAGAGCTACCTGCAAGAGCCCATTGGCTTAGTAACAAGAGGCAGTGAGGCAGGGTTGCCTGGAGGGCCCACGTTGTGCTGACTCCTCCCTAAGCAGACACATAAAAGTAGATCTCCAGCACGGATGTCTGTTACCTGGATTTAGTTGCAGGATTACCTCTAAAGAGGGCTTCCATGCCCACTTTTATTCAGGTGACCCCTCAACCTCGTTCTGGGTTTAGGGTAGGGCCCTGGGTGCTGCGACTCACCATCATCCTGGGCCCCCAGCCATCCTTGTCCAAGGCTTGGGACCAACATAAGGACTGCTATTCAGCTTTGTCCTCAGCTGGGACCTACAGCTTAGAATCTGCTCAGCCTCATCCTGGGCTTAAAGTGGCTCTTAGGCTCACATGGAACTAGGGACAGTTCTCCAGTCTCTCTGGGAAAGGGGGGCAGCAGCTCCTCAGGCTTGTCCAGGGCTGGTGTTATTCCTCAGCTTCATGGAGGTCCTGGGGTGGCTCGTCTGCATGGCCAAGTCCTGAGATGGCTCCTCAGCCTCATTAAAGCCTAGGGATGGGACCTTGGCCTCATCCAAGAACTTGGATGGCCTTCATCCTAACCCTCAAGCCAGGTTGTCTACCAACACCAGGAGTCAAGCTACTGGCCCTTAAGCTACTGCTCCTTCCAGAGGCCCAGAACTAGGGCCTGGTCATCCCTCAGCCTCCACCTCGGCCCCTTCTGGTTTGGGAGGGGCTCTTCCTCCTCTTCTAGGTTTTGAGGCTGGGCCCATTCATTCTGGCTCCTCAGAGAGAAGCTGGAAATGGACAAAAGCAGGAATCTGCTTCCTGTTCATAATCCTGCTGAATCATGGTTGTTTCTTCTCAGCCTAAGATTTGGCTTGGGTCTCTGTCCGTGCTCAGAGGAGAAGAAATTGTACTCAGTGGGCCCCTGGGGGCATGGACAGAAGAAGGGAACCAGTTTTTTTTTTTGTTTTGTCTTTTTGTTTTTGGAGTTGTATGGCTCAAGGAAGTTCCTTAGGGGCACCCACTAGTGGGGAACCACCCAGCCTGGCAGCTCTTAGGGGAACAAGTGGGCTTAGATGGGAACTTTCACCTGCTCTTACAGACTGGGCACTGATTTGCTGTTGTCCTTGCTTAGGCCCCACCTCCAATGTAGGAGATACAAGTGATCCCAAACCATGTGTCAGGACTTTGGAAAACAGCTTAGGGATGCAGATATCATCATGTGACTGGGTTCTGGTGGAGTGTGTGAGGCCATCAGAGAGATGACCTAGTGTGGTCTTCCTGAGTCAAAGGACTCTGAATAGGTGAGTGGAGATCCGAAGTCTGAGGTCTTTGGTTGGTAGGGAATGTTCTAGGGCCAGAGGTAGAGAGGGTCCCTGGACAGGATGTTGGGACCTAGGGAAATGAGAGATCTAAGAACTGGAGGTCTTTGATCTTGAGTGTCTAGGTAAAGAGGAGAGATCTAGGGCTGAAGGTTTTGAGCAGTGGACAAGGTCCCAGGTCCATGGCCCCTGGACAGGGGGAGGTAGGAGGGCCTGAGGTCCCTGGGTAGGTGAGGGAGAGGACCCTAGGACAGTGGGTAGGAGCATTTCCACAGGAATCCCTCACATTTGGAGCTCTCTGCTGTTCACTCGGCAGTAGCCTCTAAGAAGCTTGAAGATGAAGCTAAAGGCAGGCAAGATGAGAATGCAGTCTGGGCAAAGGAAAGAAAGTAAAGCCTAAGGTTCCTCTATCTGCCTATATGGCCTTGGGGCCCAATCCTCCCTTTTTCTTTCTTTTTTTTTTTTTTAGATTTTATTTATTTCTTTGACAGAGAGAGACACAGTGAGAGAGGGAACACAAGCAGGGGGAGTGAGAGTGGGAGAAGCAGGCTTCCCGCGGAGCCGGGAGCCCGATGCGGGGCTCGATCCCAGGACCCCAAGATCATGACCCAAGCCTAAGGCAGATGCTTAACGACTGAGCCACCCAGGTGCCCCAATCCTCCCTTTTTCATCTCCCCACTGCTTACCCATATTCCCAGCCCCAGCCTCATACTTCCCCGCCCTCACCAGGGGATCTGCTGTTTGAACACTGATCACAAGTTCCATGCCACCCAATGGTGGACCACATGACTACAGCAACACTCGTCTTTCCCAGCCTGCAAAAGCCAGAGACCAGAGCCCCACCCCTCCCTCTCCATGTGACCTATAGGAAATTGGACCTGGTGGCTAGGTTGTGCCATCATCCAAACTACTCCAGCTTTCCTCCCATACACTGGCCTACCCCTAGGCCTGGCCCTAGCCACCTGCCATTGAGACTATTAACAGTGGGTTCCAAGTTGGTGTCCCTGTCTCCTCAAACCTAACCTTGATTATCCAGAGTATTGTAACAAGCAAATCAAATCAAGCTCAACCCACATGGTAAAGGCCAAACACATCTCTTTCTTCACGAATGGCCCTGCTTCTCTTTCCAGTCTTCTCTCCACTCATTTCCCCCTTCCACCCTCCGAAGAATATATTATACTTTGAAATACTTCTGGTTCCCTGAACTCACTAGATTTCCCCCTCACTCTGTGCCTTGTGCTTAGCAAGCTTTTCACTCTCTTCTCTGCCCAGCCTAAGCCCTTCAGCATACACTCCAAATGTCACCCCCTCTCCTAAGACCCCTACTCACCCCCAATAGATTTAGTTGCACCTTCTCCTGTTCTCCCACAGTTCTTGGTACATACTTCTAAAAAAGTATTTATCAAACTATCTTGTGATTGCCTAGTTATTTGTCTCCCTGATTCGCCGAGAAGTTCCTGAAGGGCAGAGACCATGGTTATTTGTGCTTTTGTATCCTCAGCGTGTATCACAGTACCAGGGGCATAGTAGGTTTTATTATAGATGCAGGAACTGACTGGTCCCTATGGCCTAGGGTGTGAAGGGATTATGTTCTAGTCTTTAGGGATTCGCTGACCTTCTTCCCTTCTTCCCATAGTCCGGACTCACTGTTTGATTGATCTAGACCTGAAATTGATGGGAATAGGTCAGCTGGATCTGAAGAAAGAACCAAACTACCTCGGGCCATGGGGCAGGGGGGTAGGGAGAGTCGCTGAGTCAGGGCCATCTTTCGATTTGTGGTGAAGCTGTAAGCATGGACATTACTGTACTACACAGGGTGCCCTGATCTCTAAACCAAGAGAGGAAGAGAGGTGGGAAAGCCTGGGTCAGTGAGGTTTTTCAGGGAGGGATGGGTGGCAGGGACTAGTGGGGGTTGTGGGGTGAGGTAGAAAAACTGAGAATTAATCCCCACATTGAATATGGCTATCAGGGACCATGTCCTTAAGAAGTATTCCACATTGTTCAGATGTACCAGAATTTAGTTCACACTTTCTCTGCGTGGTCAGGGAAAGAGAGGGAATCAGAAAGTGAGAAGGGGCAGCTCTAGACCCCCAGCTCCATAGGGAGCCACCTCAAACTGGAATGCCTGGCATTTTTACTGCTCTGGAAAAAAGAGAAGGAAAACCTTGAGTGGCTCCCTAAGGCCCCCACTCAGGGTCTTCTTAGGCACAGGCTCCCCCTGGTGGTTACTCTTATCATGGCCATCTCAACCCGTTATCTTCAAACATGCACATCCTTGCCCATTTATTGACTAAGGACTGAGGAAGCCTCTGGAGGTGGTACATTAAGGAGGAGGAGGTCAGGGTAGAATTCAGGGAGCAAAATCATGGAAGGGGAAAGGACCTTGGACTTGTGTCGGACAGTATCTCCCAGAAGAAAGAGGTCCTGAGCTGCCAGCATGCTTTGTCTCTAGGGTTGGAACTCTGCCGCCTGACCTGGATAATTTGATCCAACTGGGGAGGAAGTTGAAGGCACAGCAGAGATTCCTGGGAAGGCACAGTAAGGTCATATTTTATATGAATTTGAAATATAGGAATAAGATGTCAGGATTCAAAATCAATAAAGTCTCTGGGGAGCCTGGGTGGCTCAGTCAGTTAGGCGTCTGACTCTTGATTTTGGCTCAGGTCATGATCTCAGGGTCATGAGATAGAGCCCCGAGTCCCGTGTTGAGCCCACATTGGCCCATAGGGCTCCAAGCTCAGCGGGGAGTCTGCTTCTCTCTCCCTCTCTCTCTCTCTCTCTCTGCCCCTCCCCCCTGCTCATGCACTCTCTCTCTAAAATAAATAATTAATCTTAAACACACACATACACAATAAAGTCTCAGTTTATGCACAAAATGTGAAATGGAGGTAAATCTCCCTAAATAAAAACTTTTTCAAGAATCACAATTTCGGGGCGCCTGGGTGGCTCAGTCGTTAAGTGTCTGCCTTCAGCTCAGGTCCTGATCTCAGGATCCTGGGATCGAGCCCCGCATAGGGCTGCCTGCTCGGCGGGAGGCCTGCTTCTCCCTCTCCCACTCCCCCTGCTTATGTTCCCTCTCTCGCTGTGTCTCTCTCTGTCAAATAAATAAAATCTAAAAAAAAA